TTTGGAGTGCCTCAGTCCGTTGTCTCTGTTGACTGTAAGCAATAAGAGATGAGCCTGCACTCTCTGCCGTCCCCGAGGCAAAGACAGAGAGGGAGAGGGGAAATCTAATTATTTCCCTCCCATGGCCCAGCAAGCCTTAAAGGTTAATCACTGTCCGTCTAGCTAATTCTGTCTGGGTACACTGCAGTAATTACAACACCTCGCTCTCTCTTGCCTGCTCTCTCGACTTTTCCTCTATTGTGTACCTTGCTTGCTCCAGCGCTCTCTCCTGCACCCTTTCTCTTTATAGGTAGCGGATGTCTCTCTCTCTCTCTCTCTCTCTCTCTCCCCCCGATTTCTCATGCTCTACCATGTTCATACTCCTATGTATATATATATATTAGGATATTTAAGATAAGACATCTCCCTGTTTTTTAGTCTTCTGCAACTTTAATTTGCTGTTAATGCTTTTTGCTGTTAGTCTGAGCTCAACACTTCCTCCGTGTTGACCTAACCTAGTAGTCAGACTGAACTGCCATTTCATTTCCCTTCATTCATTCAACCTGACATTGCGTTCATGTTCGCTGACATCTTGTTGGAAGGGTGGGGCACACTTTGTTTTGTTTTGCCCTAACCAATCAGTAGCGAATGACATATCTGTCCTGCCAACATCACTTGAGGCAGAAAATCAAAGAAACAGTCAACTTTCTATTGCTATTCTTTATGGATGCAGCTACATAGCTACCCAACTATAAAGGACGACTTTAAATAAACATCATCATTCTTAATCCCGCTCATAAAGCACTGATTGATTGTTTCAGTCTGGAAGCAAGCTAATGTTTACCTGCTGTCTTGACAAATTTAGAATTATATGCATTTCTACAGCACCATCAGTACAACAACATACTCCCATCATATGCATCACTTGGCTGCCAACAGATTCTCTTCTTTTTTTTTAACAGAGATAGTATTATAACACACCAGTTCATTCCACTTATACTTTCCACTTTCCACTCATACCACTCTCCATAAAACTAAACACAAGTTGTTTTACATTTAAAGCCTCCCACAAGCTCAAATGGCATAAAAGCCTGGTAGTGTTTTTAATGTGAAAACATCTGCAAGATTGCGCTTAATTGACGATACCTTAACAGCAAATAATAAAAAGTAGAGGTGACTGAAAAAAATGAATTAATGAAAAAAAGTATTTTTTGTTAACAAAGTCAGAGCAGCATATTGGTTAGTTCGGCAATGTTTTGTACTTGGAATAAATGCTTCCCCCCCCTTCACCGTTTTTCATTTGGCTTTTATTAATTCAGCTATTATTTAAAAGTCAGCCGTTACTTAATCCTGGATTTGCAGTATGTATAAATGCACACGTATGTAGAGAATTTATATATAGATATTTCATAGATATAGATGTGTTTATCTTCCATTAGATCTCAGAGGGAGGAGGGTTTCCTTTTCTCACCTCCTCTCTTTCTCACACTCCTCAATTTCCCTTTTCTCTATCTTCTCACCGCCTCTCTCTCTCCTTTTCTTTCTCATACCTTCTTGTCACCTACTGTCTCCCTCTCTCCCCACTCTTCTCACCATTCCTCCCCCTTCATTCTCTCTCTTCATCATCTCATCACCACTCCCCGCCACCTTCTCACTTCATCTCTCTCTCTCTCTCTCTCTCTCTCTCTCTCTGGCTCAGCTTCTTACTCGTTACAGCTGTATTTCTCTCTAGCAACAGCTCGAGGAAGCATGCCTTGGGCCTAGAAATACTCCACCATCTCTTCTCCTTCCAATTTCTCCCTCCCTGCCAAAAGCATCTCCAGAAGCGACAGCTTAGGAGACTTAAAATACTTCTGTTTTCTTCTCCTCCTTTTCTCACTGTTTGGTTCTCACCGTTCCATCACATGCAATACTTTCCGTGATACAGCTGGTAAAAACTCCAAACGAGGATTATTATGAGGCAAGAAACAATATAGAATCTATTAGGTATTTGTTATTACTTCCTGTGATGAATCTTAGGGGGTCATACATTATTCATGTCATGCAAAACAACATGTAAGTCCAATTTTCTCAAAGAAAAACAACCAAGACCCAGCTACGCTCTACCAACAGGCAACTTCCTGCTATTTTGACCCTGATGGGCTGTCGCTTCTCATATCATCAGAGGAGAGGAAAGGAGAAAATAGGAGAGGAGACAAGATGGGAGAGGAGAAGAAGAGTGGTGAAGATGAGACAGAAAGCATGAGGAGAAAAAGAGATGGGAGGCTGAAAGTAGCCCTTAACAAAGGGTCATCACTCAGCTTAACTCTCTCCCTTGCACTCTCTCTTTCTCTTTCTATTTTCCACTTGCTAGGGGACCAAAACAACAGTGGGGGATAGATGCTGCTTTATTACATTCTAAATGTTTTCCAAGAAGTTCGCAGAGTGACAAAGATCCCTAGAATTTGTTTCTCGGCCCCTGCGGCAAAGCCCTGTTTGAGAGTCTGTGGGCAGACGGGTGCTGATGGAAGTAGTGGCGGTGGTGACGCGGTGCGATGCTGGTAGCATTGATGGAGGAGAGCAGCTGCTAGAATTGCTGAGGAAGAGACACGGGAAGCTGAGAATCACAGGGTGAGAAGGAGAAAGCAAGGAGAGGATGGAAAACAACAGCGCCTGGCTGTTGTTATGAAACGTGCTACGGAGGATGCATTATGCAAAGTGAGAAGTGAATTGTGGATAAAGTGAAGAAATGAGGTTAAAGTGAGAAACTACAGGGTGCCACTGTGTGCCTATAGGAATATATGATAAAGAAAAAGATGATGATGGTCTCTTGTGTAACAGAAAACAGCAAAGTTAACAGTGGAAAAATGAATGTTTTTGCAGTGTCATTGGCGAAAGGTCAAAATTAACTGGAGCTAATAATGTAAATGATGAATATATTGTAGCTTGTGTGAATATACAGCATATTCAGTCTTCGAGTATTAAGATTAAAAATACCATACATATGATCAATATCTAAATGGTGCATCTGATTAACATACCCAGGAACATAAAGAAGTTTAAAGCTCCACTCTGACCAAATACATAAGTATACTTACAGGTTAATGCATTAATAAAATTAATGCACTGCTATAATAATAATAATAATAATAATAATAATAATAATAATTATTATTATTATTATTATTATTATTATTATTATTATTATAGTAGTGCATTAATAAAATTAATGCACTACTATAATAATAATAATAATAATAATAATAATAATAATAATAATAATAATAATAATAATAATTATTATTATTATTATTATTATTATTATACATCTTCCCCTACTGCTCACTGCACTATACTTTTGTGCAACATTTATTTATTGTTAGATTAAATCCAGGGCAACATCAAAAATGAGATCTCTCTAAATGAAGGTTAACTAAAATTGGAAATACATTTCTAAATTATAGTAAAATTATTTTGTATAACTTTGATGATAAATTAGAATTATTCAAAAAAATTTTCATATTCTAGAAATATTTTACTTTTATTTGATATATTATAATTGTTTCTAATAAAATATTCTTGAACTACCAATAGTTACAAATCTTAATCTAAAGCCATCTGTGTTTCTCTGTTGAATATCTCTCAAGTGTAACAGTTAAGATAATTATTGATTACTTACTTTATTAGATATGGCTTCAACACTAAATCAGTAATACTTTCTAAGCTAATTTTTTTGGAACATAATTTCTTAAGAATGCATTCTGAATTCAGAACTCTATTCACTATTTCAGTGCAAATGCTTTCTCCCACACATGCTAAACCGTTTATTTCTGCTTAGAATTAAAACTGAATGCGTTTTCTTTCTTTCTATTTTTTTTTGTCTCAATACGTGGCTTGCAAAATTGTGAAGGTATTTGTTCTTCTGTCAGCATGCCAGCACTGATTATCCCCATGCTTGCGTTGGAGTGAAGTAGCACCTACACATATTGTTGAGGCGAGTGTCTCGCATTCAGTAGGTAGGACTTTAGACTCTGCAGTTATCCTGAAATGTGAAGTTATCACTTCACCCAACTTGTACAGAAAAATAAAGTTGCTGATCTTAAAGGTGCAGTTTTTGACCTCTAGTAGGTCTATGGTGCAATGTTTTGCTGGAATAGTTGGGGCCAGATGGTGACATGGTGAATGATCAGAGGGGAAGTTGGTGAGCTGCAGTAACTGGCAAGCTAAATTGGCTAACTAACCTAGGTGGGCTCTCTATTTTTTCTTGCCTGTTCTACATCCCCCTGGCATTTTGGCCACAATTGCACACCATTTCATTCAATAGGATAATAAAGCTCTTTGACCTAACAAGCTTGCTAACTGTCAGTTAGCACACTCATCAGCTTGTTAGTTTAGCTTGGTTGCTAACAGGATCACTCAAAAGACCTATTTGTACCATATACTTCTTTCTCATAAACATCTGCACACCATTAGTCTTTTGTGGAACAGTTTTTACTCTGACAGAAGAGGTTAAATAAAAGTAGATGGCTCAACACAGCTTATAAGCTACAATAGCTTCATCTAATCCACGGGTAACATTCATGCAGATTGATTGTCTTGAGCGGATACTCTGATCACTGTCATTCCTTTTGTAATGAATTGATTTCACTGTGAAATTTCAGCATTTTAAATCCTACTGTGTCTCTGGGCCTGATCAAAATGCCAAAAAAATGTGTGCATGAGTCTTGTAGTTGCATAATAATTTTTGATTCATCACTTCCTGCCAGCTTTAAAACATGCAGTGATTGCCATGACTACAGATGGCATGCACATAAATGCTGCACACAGTAAATGATTTGAATATTCATCAGAATGTCAGATGTCATTCTCCTTGTGAATAATCTTTACCCAGGAGAGAAACAGATACAGCATGTCCTATAATAACATGTAGTGTCAAGCTTGTGTGAGTGAATTATATGCTGAATGAGATTTCATACTGTTTATATATTGTTTTACATATTTTATGAGTATTAAAGGGTTCAAATGTGTTCTGAAAAGTCTACCTTGTGTGAGAAGTTGAAGGGTCCTGACTTCCTCTCGGACACGAAGCTGTAGGACCTGCTGCAGGATGTGCTGCCTCTGGGCTTCCTGCATGATACCCATTCTTTCCAGCTTTCTGTCTGTCAATCTCATCAGAGCCCGCCCTAAACAGAAAAAGAAACAAGGCCGAAAGTTGAGGGCCAGAATGAGTGGGAAGCCAGAGGGAATTCAATAGGCACAGCTGGAGACACAAAGGGTACAGATAAAGCATTTATGTCAGGGGAAGAACAGAGAAAGGAAACAAACACAAACATGGTCAGAAAATTACAGCCACATAAATTGTGCATTGTGTGTTGATAACAGAGAGCTGTTCAAGGTTGCAACACTGTTTCTGACATAAAAACTAATTGTTTTTATGAGAGCCATTGCCTATTATGTGAATGTCAATCAGCCTGAAATTTGCTTTTAAGATCAACACAACTGAATGTGAAACATATTCTTCTAAAACACAGAACACGCTTTACATAAATATCAGTACTGCACATCCCTTGAGCAAGAATCCTTCACAGCTCCTTCCTTAATTGCAAATCCTTGTATAAAATCCATAATTTAATCATCCAATCAGTTTCTATGAGGGAGATTTGGGCTGCTGGTAAAACGGGAGTATGGTGTAATTATTAATGCTTGTTATGAGTGCCTTTGTAACATGTGGGGTGGTAAGCAGATAGGATGATAATTCAGGATAATTACTAGGCATTAGGTTGGACCCCAAGCTCCTTTGCCCTGAAGACTGTCTGGGCAAGAAACTGGCTCTGATTGGTTGACACCCAGGGGAGAGATCAGTCCTGATAGGTTCATGGAAGTTAATCTGTCACATTCATTTTCCTTCTCCTGTATTTCTGTCAGATCATTGACGTTAACAAATATAAAGCTTCATTCATGACTGATGCAAAATTGAAATAGAATTTTAAATTTGTACCCTTATTCAATGCCCCATTTTAAAAACGACAACAGAGAGAAGCAGACTTTATCATTTCATGTCTCTTGACTTGTTTGGACGATCTATTGTAGATCATTAGGACATGCAGAGCCCCACGCTACCACTTTGCTACCACAGCACAGAAGGGAGTAGTTGGGAAAGCTAAGTACCCTTAAGTGTTAGTGGTGTAACATTGACTGTGTTAGGCCAATTTTCTCCTGCCTTAACAAAAGAAGCTCTTCGCTTGGCGCTAAGGCCAGATGGGGGTAAAATGCCAAACATAGTTAAGATGCTTCATCGCAAAATGGCGCCGAAAGTACCCATTACATAAACACCGGGGAGCTAAGTAGAGTCATAAAGGCTCAGAAGTGAGAGAAGCATATTAAATGGGATGATGGAAAAGACAAAGATTAGTGAGGTGGAAAGAGAAAGTGGAATGATGAATCAAAGGAGGGCGGAAAGTTGGGGAGAAAAGGAAGATGTAGAAATTGACAGAAGAAAACCGAGTGCACATAAAGCATGCTGTTATGAGTCTATAAATATTGACCAACCATCACTTGGCACCTCATCTTGTAACCAAAGATAGATCGGCATGGCAACAGAGGTTCACTTATTCTATGCTTCACTAATGTCTTATCTTAAATAACAGCAGATACAAGACAGCTTACTGACCAGGAGATGGTTCACACAGCATCTTCGCTAATCTTTGTATTACAAAGATTATTTATTGAGGCATCCTTTAACTCTTGTGTTTTGTTGACAATGGCTTTACTTCTGCATTGTTTGGTGTTCCACAGACCCCACTGCTGCCCAAACATGTAAAAGAGTATTTGAGTGATAACCTTTCCCTTCGCCAGAACCTGAGCTTGATGAAGTTGAAAAAGTACAAAAATGGCTATGAAACAATGTCATTACACCAAATAAGGAAATCATAAACTGTGCTGAACTTCCAATGACGTAAATTTAAATTGACTTTGGATAGTCCTGTGTAATCAATAACAGATATAGACTGCATGAAAATCTGTTTAAAGGAGATGTTCGACATTTTGGGACTATGCTTAGTCATTTTCTTGCCAAGATTTAATTGAGAAGACAGATACCACTTTCATGCCGGTAGGTGAAGCTAGCAGCTGGCTAGCTTAGCTTAGCATTAAGACTGTAAATAGAGGGAAACAGCAAACCTGGTTCTCACAAAATCCACCTACCAGCACCAGGCAACTAGTGGATACTTCAGGAAGTTACTGGTCCATTTTGACATTTTATTTTTAACAGATTGATGTTAATTTGTGCTACCTTTGGACAGAACCAGGCTAAAAGTCTCCTCTTTCCAATATTTATGCTAAGCTATGTTAGCCAGCTGAATTCATAAGCAATTCTAGAGAGGTGATAAAACAATGTTACATTTATTTTTGAGCTATTAAAGAGGGCCTCCAGGACTCCAAACAGGACATCAGGGTTAATGAAACCTTCCAGTTATGATTCAGAATTGGTCATTAAAAGCATTTAGCATCAATGTTTAATTCATTAAATAAGTTTTCCTGTGGATGTTTTAATACATCAGTCCTGAGATCCTCTAACAGCTTAAAACGAGAAGTGTATTAATGTGGGCAGGTGGAGTACTGCGGATGCCTAGAATATGAGAGGCTCGCTGATGACTGCGAACAAACTGCCAGTTCTCGGCGGTAGGTGCCAACGCGGTGCTCCTTCCGGCCGGCGAGGCAGTATCAGCAGGGTGGAACAGCTTCTGAAAGGAGTCCAAGCTTTCACTCTCTCGCCCTGCAGTTCTGAGCCATTGGCTTCGACAATCCCACCAAGCCTCAGCTGGGAATTTTTCAAACCACAATTAATACACAGAGCAGTGTAGCATGGCCATGAGGAGAGGGGGAGGAGGAGGTGGAGGAGGAGGAGGACGAGGAGGAGGACGAGGAGGAGGACAGAAGAGGAAATTGGTCAAGAGGAAATAAATGAGGTAAGAGAGGAAGGGATGCTTGAAGAAAAGTTGAATTTCTAAAAGTGATAGAAAAATAGTGAATCAGCTATAAAAGGCATCACAACTATAGCAGTGATGAGAAAAAATGACAAAACGACTGGGCTGTGTAGTGGTACAAACAAAATATTATGTCAGCTTGGCACTGTGCTGCATGGTTAATTCTACTAAATTGTAACACATGGCTTCAGTTCATTTGGCAGGGCAACACAAAAAGACGATGGCAAAGAAAAGACATGGCAGAAAATCATTAACTCCTGACCTAAAACATATTTTACACACTGCGACACCGTTGTCCGCTCCTCGCTCAACAGCAGGAGCATCTAGTTCTGAACATGTGTATATATCCGCTGTCGTTGAAGGCAACAAAGATGTTTTTTTTTACTCAGTTGTACTTTACCTGTAGCTTATTTTATTGATTGGATTAGAATTTCTCTCTCTTCTAAGACACCTCAATTCTCCCAACCACTATTTCCATAGAAATGCTTTGCATTTTTTGAACAAATTTTTTAGATTAGGGCAAAATAAGATGTGTTCATGACCAAACTATATGGGAATAGTTCACCAGTACGTGACAAGGTTACATTCTCTAGCTCCTACCATCATTAAAGGGGAGCCTGTCAGGGTGCGAACTACAGTGGAGCCAGAGGGAGCTTAGCTCCTCTTAATAAGACATGAGCTCCTGAAAACATGATTTGTGAAATTTTGGGGGGTCTCTAAAATATTGCACACATGCTATTTCTGCCATTCATTTTAGAAGCTCAGAACTGTAGGAAGCAGATGTGACTTCTCTGTTTTGTAGTCAACAAACTGTGAGCCAATCAGTCGTTTCCATCAGAACAGAGGTTTTCCAGATGTAGCCTAAACAGATATATGAGGTCTCCTATTCCAGCAGCTTTAAGCTTTTTCAACAAAAATGCACCCACAGCAGTTACCAGGTGCTGTATTTTTAGCATTTATTATTGACTGCAGTCGGTACTTCAGTTTGCCCCTCTGATACATTGTGGTGCTTTATTGCTGCTAAAACATTAAATGAATTAATTTGTAGCCTCTGATCCATGTATACCCTGTAGCGTTTTTAATCAGGCACTATGGTGATAAAGAGGGGACTCAAACTGGGCATATTGCAATTATGTACACCCCTGAAAACCCTGCTCTTTTTATTCTTTACTGTGGGGGGTTTCTGGTGGATTGGTGGTAACTGAGTGGCAGAATGAGCTGCATCCCTTTCTACAGTAGAAGAAGCAGGTACTGCAAAATCTGTTTCCATCAGCATATTTTTTCCAATGTGTCATCTTCTCCATCTCAGACTCTCTTTTTTAATTTTATGTACCAGCTGAAAATGTGCATAAAAACACTGTACCTACCCTCCAGATACCGTCTTATTGACTACCATATTTTTTTTATCCCCCCCGGAATGAGGTAAATTATTCCTTCCCCTATTTTCTATAAGGAGGTTAGTGAATTCAAACTCCCAGGAAGATGAGCTGCTTGTGCTTTCACTGAACTCTGAATATTTCTCTCCTTCACCTATTTCCTCGATTCTGGTGGTTACCTGTAGCACATCTCTCTCTGATTTATAGCCAAGAGTCTGTATTTTATTAGACAAGAGCTATATTGTAAGTAAAAAGATATATATGATGGGCTATATTGTACTGAATGTGTTTTTACACACAAACCAAATATGTTACACATACTTTACAGAAACACGCTGATGTGAGTACACACACAAACACATTGTCCCTGGGAATTAGATTAATGAGTGGTGGGTGAGCAGCAGTGTTGTGCTGAAGCAGATTAATCTACAGCTATAGCCCGGCACGTCAACCACGGCTTTGATGAATGGGAGCCTAAAGTGTATCTGTACACGCACACACTCACACAAAAACACACACATAATAAGCATGTGCAAACTGGGAAATATTGCCATATTGGTCCCATGGAGCTAAAATGCCACGCTAATTGAGGTTGTGTGTGGGGCAGGCATGGTTGAAGACAGGAGCTCAAAGGCAACAAAAAATGAACCCTCCTCTCAGTCTAACTTAAAAAAAAATCACATTTTCCAACCCAGACATGTTTTGGCAGCTGTGTGATACGGTGCAAGAATGTATTCTATGACTACTTCTCCTCAGGTAAATCTTCCACACCAGTCACACATATTTCTCAAATCTCCCGCGCAGCTGTGTGCCCATATGTGT